TTCGAAATTTTGCTTCTTTTACGGCAGTTATTGTACTTAGATTGAGGCAGGTAGGGTCTTGTTGTCTTGCCTAACCCTGCTTTTACTCTCTTATCCACTGCTTATCGCCGATGGGTGTTTAATGATAATTCAAAACAGTTATAGGCACACTAAAATGATCGGAAACTACTAGTTCATTACAGCGTAGAATAGGAAAAGCACCTCACTGAAGATGGCGTGAAGCTTATTATTGATACATAAAACGACGACTGATCTGTATATGTCAGTTCGATAAAGCTGTACGTCAAAAATTGTTTTTCTTTCAGCTTAATTACAGAAATTTAATCATCTCAATATTATAAACACATTCCAAAGTAGAAGATTTATAATTTAAAAATTTCTTGTATTGTTGTAGAAACTGGCTGAATTGGCAATTCGACATGAAGCTTGATAATAATTTAATCGAAATACTTTTGAGCTAAGGGCCAAATTTTTTTTCAGATCAACTCACAGAAGTCAGGTTAGATAAAATAAATCAAATATGCAATGCAGGAGATTATTAGATGTTGTGCCAAATCAGAGATGGTTAAAACGACCTTGGTCACACTTTAACAATATATTTGTTTATTCTCAGGGCTCAAAAGATATTAGAAGTTTTCAGTGGAAGGTCAGGAAAATCCCTGTTTTTGATTGATATTGTGTGTAAGAAAACAATCAACTGTTGATTTTATTAAGTATTGATGTGGTAAATAAGTATTATGATAAAATGACTTTGGTCAAAATTTCAACAGTATATTTTGTCATCTTCAGGGCTCAAAGCACCTAGAGTTTTTCAGTGAAAGGTTAACCTAATCCCCGGTGTTAAAAGAGTGAAGGTCTGTACGAGTAGATCGATCAACAATAGATTTTACTGAGATTTTGCCAAATCAGGATTATGGTCAAAACAGCATTGGCCAATCTTTCAAAAATGTATTTTTTCGTCCTCAGATCTGAAAGTGTTTATAATTTCTCGGTAAAATGGCACGCAAATTTCTGATATTAATAGATCGATGTGTGTGAGAAGATCGACCGATGGATATTGCTTATGGCCAAAATGACTGACCAAACTTTCGTCAATATATTTGGTCAGGGAGAAGGTCGACCGACCGTGAATATTATTGAGTTTCTATTACGCCAAATCAGGCTTATGGTCAAAACGATTTTTACCAAACTTTCGACAATATATTTGGTTACTTTCTTGAGCTCTAAGGATAAAAAATTTTCATTGAAAAGTCAAAGTAATCACTGCTGTTAATTTATTGATGGTATGTATGACGAGACTGACCAAATGTTGGTATTGCTTATGATTGATCTTAATGACTGCCCAAACTTTTTTTTGGTCTTCCTCAGGTCCGAGAGGCTGTTCTCGTTAGAATGTCATGCCAATCCTTTCTCTTAATTAATTGAAATTGTGTGTGAGAAAATTAACTAAACGCCAGCTTGTTCTGAAGACGTTTTTGTTGTTCACAACGAAAAGTGTTTTTTTTAAGCATACTTCTGCTGCAATGAAAATTTTCGTTCGAGCTTCTTACATTCTCAGAATTTAACACGAATTAGGTAAGCTTACTTAAAGTAACAATAACTTCATGCAATTCTGTTTAAGGCTTGCCACAAAAATTATCAACACAGTCGTTTTGATAATGCCGAGTTTTATTAACAGTTCAGGCCATATCATACAATAGAAACGGCAGGGTTTCATATACGAATCACATCAAAAAACCTTTTCGGTAATCCCAGCCCTTCTTCGGTCATCCCTTTCTTGGCAAAGGGTGTGTTTGCCCTCTTTCTTATGAAGAGTTCCAACGAGTGGTGAGCCCGAGGCTAAGCCTATTGATCCTCCCTGTGTTCCCCGACCGGTCGCTGGCAGTCTGTTGACTTTCATCCGATATTGTCCTCCCCCTCCGGAGGAATACCCCTGGCAGATATTAGAAGAGGGAGGAAACCTTACAAAGAGCAAACATCTCAGAGGGAAGGTGGGCTCCCTTCTTTACCCAAATATGAGGATTTGGGAAAATTCATCTGGAACGTTTTCTCCTCATTCGGCCGACGCGCCTTTCAAGTCAATTTTTTTCTCTTAGCCAATCAACTATTAAAAACCATATGCACAAACCTCAGACTTGTACAGACTGAAAAGTACTTGTAGTTAAGCCAGTTTTGGGACAGTTATGCACACTCCTGTTTTTATATCAAAATTTACAAAAAAAATACTGACAGCTAATTTAAATTAGCACTTAGTTTTCGTAAGTAGAGTGTTTTGAAAGTATATTTAAGTAGTTGAGAGCTCGGTGGAAATAATCAACAAGCTCCCATATTGAAAACATACTGATATTAACATTTTTCAGCTGGACCTTCCGAATGAAATAAAAAAAACTGATGTCCGTGGATGGTCTTTATGCTTTTATTGAGTTTGTCGACGTCTGCCCTTTTATCCACAATATCCCGAGGCGATTCGCCTGACTGTGCGGAATCAAAACATCAAAGTCGTCCCTCCTCTTCCTTTTCTGCCCCGAATGCCTTCTATTTCCAATAAAATAAACCGCGGGTTCGTGGGGGCGGCGACATATTGAGGGTGGCGCAATATGTCCTCGGAGGGAGGGCACCTGCAGCGCACGTGATGCCGCAAAAAGACCCATCCGAAGTCTGAGCTGACTCCTGCCCCCTTTCTAAATCCATTCCCCGTCCACCCTCGCTCTTTCTGTTATGTTAATACATGCACTGCCCTACCCTCCAACCTCGGCCAACCCCATTATTATGCGACGCATTTGTATCAATTTCATTCGCATTACAAGCCCTTTGAAATTATAATCGGGGCAGGACGTCAAATCCCCACGCAACTAATTATTTCCATTGCTGTCATTTAAAAGTCACCGTGCTTCAGCTGCTTCTAGTGAAAAAGTGAATGTACTGAATTACGGATTTTTTCTTGAAGCCCTATCCGGCCTGTCCTATCTGTTTTGGTCCTTTTCCATTTTGCTATCCCATAAAGCAGATCAGAGTCGGTAAACTACGGCAAAAAATCGAACAGTTTGGAAACGAAATAGCCCAGAGACAAAGATTAAGAAGTACATACTTAAAAAAGGATTCGGAAGATGGAGAAATCATCCTGAGAAACCTTAGACGACAATGAAAGATTGAAACCCATTTGAACTAAAAACCGGACAAAATTGTTGTACACGAACTAACTACACATAACACCGATTAATTTAAAACCGAAAAAAGACGAAAATGTAACCTTTAAGTTTCTGATAGAAACACAGGGATGAAGGCTTTTTAATTTTTTTAAAATCAACTTTCACCAATCAACATATGCTTTCTACAGTTAACACGTCGTTTACCAATTCAATCTCATACCATAAAATTAGTAAAGAAATATTCATATATTATGATCTATTAAATCCATTAGATTTCGTGGTCCGACTGACCAAATAACTTATTTCAATTAATTAATCTTTATATAAGTATTGGTTGAAATAAAAAGCTAGTGTCACGAATGGGATTCGAACCCACGACCTTCGGCTAAATACGCCGCTGCTCTACCACTTGAGCTATCGTAACTTCGATCCACTTGGCAAAAAGGACGGAAAATTCGAAAGGTTGGTTGAGTTGGAAATTTGGTGTCCGAGTGAATCGAAGTCACGATAACTCAATTGTTAGAGCAGCGGCGTATTTAGCCGAAGGTCGTGGGTTCGAATCCCGCTCGTGACATTGACTTTTTATCTCAACCAATTCCTTACATAATGATTAATTAATTGAAATAAGTTATTTGGTCAGTCGGACCACGAAATCTAATGGATTTAATACATCAAAATATATGAATATTTCTTTACTAATTTCAAGTTTATGGTATGAGATTGAATTGGTAAGCGACGTGTTAGAGTGGTTAGCATGAGAGACTCTCACGCCGCGGTCGTGGGTTCGATTCCCGCCGCGGTCGTGGGTTCGATTCCCACCGTTGCCCCTGGCCCTTTTTTCCCAATAACCCCCCAAATTTGAACACACATATACGAATTTGTCACATGGCTAATATGCATAGTTCATAACGCCAAAAAAAANAAAAAAAAAAAAAAAAAAAAAAAAAAAAGCGACGTGTTAACTGTAGAAAGCATATGTTGATTGGTGAAAGTTGATTTTTAAAAAATTAAAAAGCCTTCATGCTCTTAGGAAAATTGTTTTGTTATCTCTTCATCCAAATTTTCATCGTTAGAATTTAAATTATACAAGACTTTCTTATTCAGCGTCCGAAATTGTATAAAATAAGCAATATTTACATGCACAAATTTACATACTCTCGAACAGCCAGGTAAACATAAAGACACTAAATGCTTACTACTCCAAATTTGCCTAAATTTCTTAACGGCTCTGAGAAGCCAAGAAATTACCTTAAAGTCGGTTCCCGGACACGAAACATAGAAGGAATTGAACAGGCTGACCAACTTGCTAAAAAAAGGGGGCAGCCCACTCACCCATGGGACAAGAACTAATTCTGGGTGCAATGCGTGCTTAAGTTGGAACTGGGAAAATTGCTTAAGAAAAAAACCCGCAAAAACTGGACAAAAGTACCAGGTATGAAGCAAACTAAGAGCTAGATCTGTCAAAAAAAGAAGGCAAAGGGACTCCTCTGTCTTAGCAGGCAGGAGTTTAGAAAAATTCCATGCTGTACACTGTACTCTTAATTATCATCTACAATAGGTGGGCTGAGCATAGATAAAAGCATGCCTACTCAGTGACATCAGCACATATCATTTGTGAATGTGAAGCATTAGCTTGGTTACAGTACAGTCTCTTCGGTAAGGCAATAAGAAAAAGTACGCTTTTCAAGCTATATCTATACTCCATGGAGATTCCACAATAGATCTATTTAGGTTGCAGTGGAAGAACTGATTTTTATAATTTTTAATCAACCCTAAACTTAAAAAAAGTAATATTTAATCTTCTAATTACATGGTTTTTGATAACAACAAATTTCCCATGGTTTCTCTCACCTCTCATAATCTATTCGGCAGTAGATTTTCGAGTCTTTGGTGAAACATGTGTGAGTGAGCGCGGCCTGACACACGCAGCATAGGAGGCACCTCTCGTGGTAAGACGAATCCCCCACTCGCATAATATATCGGTCTGATATATGACCCGTGCAAGCTCCGCATCTCGATCCGTCAGACGCCATCATCCTCGGCTCACACTAGAACAGAAAACATTACATTTGTGTTATTTTTTATTGTTTGACTGACAACAGGTGAGTACTCAGCTTACATTAGCAAAAACATGATAGAAACAACATCAGTCATAAATTTAAAAGTTAATCGTGAGGGCAAAATCAGAATAGGCTTCAAAAGAAGATAAACGAATAATAGCGTATTATTTCAACATCATAATACATATATGCAAGGCTTTAATTATGCGAAGTTACACTTAAGCATGAGCCAAATTTTCGTCTTCGAAAATAAAAAAGATGAAAAGAAAAAAGTATTATGATTAAATTTGACTTGTGAATAAAATAAAACTGTTCTTTGTAGGAGAGTTAAAATAATAATCGCTAAAACGGGAAGTCATTGAACACGTATGAGCGTTGAATTCGGCGGGATAGCAACACCATCATCCTCACTATCAAAAATTAAACCGTGAAATAGAATCGTACTTATATGGAAAAGTCACAAGTTGACTGAAGCTGGCCAGTTCTCACTGTTAAGTATATTCCAAAGTTAGATTTCTGTCAAGTTGATCTTCCAAATGACCTGAGACCAGGACCACGGGCCAAGAAATGTGATGTCATCTTTATCCTTTATCACCAGTGTTGCGTAAGGCAAAGATACGTAGAAAGTCCTGCCTCCAGGATTTACAGTTCAAGTTGAAGGAGTCACTTGTGAGGAAAATTGTGGAGAACTTCTTGGAATTGGCGTTTTATGAGCAGAATTCATCTGTGCGGTTATGGTGGATGTTCTTTTACTGGGAGGAGTCATACGCCAGCATCATAAACAACAGAATTCATTGCTTCCATTTTTCTCGTTATTTTATCACCTTTGCGAATAATTGGCGATTAAGGCTAGATCGTCTTGGTGCAAGAGATCGAATACCTCTGCGTCTTAGAAACGTTCAGGAATAGACTGAAAAGGAATGAGCTCAAGACGTATCCCTGATGTACTCCTATTCTGGTTTCATAGCAGGCTGATCTTGTGTTGGCTCGTCTTGTGGTCCTAGTAAATTTTTGCATCGTATGTTCAGACCTGTCTTCGCTTTGGGAACTTTTCTAACAGATATTTGATAGAGTGAGAGTCAAATTGATTCCTAAATACTTATGATTATTTACCTCTTTAATTTCCTCGTTGTGGAGAAATATTTTTCATTAGAAGCAAGACTTCCATCACGAATATCATTATCTTATATTTTTCTTTATTGCTGAATAAACCTCATTGTTTGCATTTTTCTAGTTGCTTTATCACTATTGCGAACAATTGGCGAATAAGACTTCATCGTCTGGGCACCAGAGATCTAATAATTCTGTGTCTTAGCAATTGATATATAGTCAGGAATAAACTGAAAAGGAAAGAGCTCAAGACGTATCCCTGGTGTACTCCTATTCTGATTTCATAGCTGGCTGATTTTGTGTTGACTCGTCGAGCTGCCAGTAAATTTTTGTATCGTATGTTCAAACCTGGCTTTGTTTATGGAAGCTTTTCTGACAGGTATATAATGGAGTGATAGTCAAAGTGATTCCTAAATATTTCTGTCTGTTTACCACTTTAATTACCTCGTTGTGGAGAAACTATTTTTGTTTTTTCGTTATTTTATCACCTTTGCGAATAATTGGCGATTAAGGCTAGATCGTCTTGGAGCAAGAGATCGAATAGCTCTTCGTCTTAGAAACTGATATATCGTTCAGGAATAGACTGAACAGGAAAGAACTCAAGACGTATCCCTGGCTTACTCCTATTCTGATTTCATAGCTGGCTGATTTTGTGTTGACTCGTCGAGCTGCCAGTAAATTTTTGCATCGTATGTTCAAACCTGGCTTTGTTTATGGAAGCTTTTCTGACAGGTATATACTATTTTTGTTTATTAGCAAGACTTCCATCTGAAATATCACTATTTCCGATTTTTTCTTTATTGTTGATTAACCCCCATTGGATGCAGTAGTTCTCTAGTTGCTTTATCGTTATTTGGAGTTCTTCAGAACGTCAGACTGAAAGACTGCTTGTGATGATCAGCACCAGATCATCATAACACCTACAAGAGGCCGAATAAGAGCAGGAGTACATAGAAAATCTGAGATGTTCAGGTATAGACTGACCAAGAGAGGGTTCAAGACCCCTGTTTTAGTCCTGCTCGGTTTTCATAGTTGGCTGTTGTTGTTTTATAATGCCATGGAAAAGAAATGGTTTTCATGTTTGACTGGCTCGAATAAAACGATAAATATCTCTAATTGGCTTAGTTTATAGAAAAGTAATCCCTGTTCAATTTTCTAGGTCTCCTTCGATAAAAGAAGACAAAAAATAAGTTACAATTAATTAAGGTTTTTAGTTGAGATAAAAAAAGTCAATGGCACGAGCGGGATTCGAACCCACGATCTTCGGCTTGATAAGCCGCTGCACTAGCACATTTTCAATTTTCCCTCCTTTCTGCCATTTTTCAAAATTCAAAAGGTGCGATTGAGATGGGAAGTTGGTGTCCGAGTGGATCGAGGTCACGATAGCTCAAGTGGTAGAGCAGCGGCTTATCCAGCCGAAGGTCGTGGGTTCGAATCCCGCTCGTGCCATTGACTTTTTGATCTCAACTAAAAACCTTAATTAATTATTAATCATAACAACTGCTAGCAGGGAATAAAAGGTTAAATAGAAAATTAAAAGAATGTAGAAAGGAAAGTAGTTGGGATTTGAAGTGCAACCAATTTATTTCGATGAACCAGGTATTGGTCGAAGAGAAAGAATGATACAAAAAACGAAATTTATGGTATTTGGTAGGGAATTCGGCCTTTTCTCTCTACCTTGTCTGATTTTCCACTCCTCTTCAAAATATTTGCGGTAGAAGGCAAAATAAAGTGTTTTCGGCCTAACACTAGAAAAGCAATCCGGCTATTTTCAAAAAATCATATCTCCGGTTTTATTGGACTGATTTTAAGTACTCATTTTTCTCACCAAAAAATCTAGTTTTAAAACAATTTGAAAATGGGGGTTCTCATTTATGATTAAAATTATAATAAAAAAATAAAAAAAGTTGAAGCGAGGTCGATAAAATTACATACAGCTTGGACACCTTGTATAATCAAAATTGATATTTTTTCAACTAACAGAGAAGGAAATGAATATTTTTACAATACCAGTTGAAAAATTGGATGAAGATACTTCAGAAAATTTACGGTATTGCTAGACGATCCATATGAAAAAATAAGCAATAAATTGACTTTTATTTGTCTAGAAGTGTACTTAGTCGGTTGTCTTAAAACCATTATAATAGCAAATTGAAAACGTAAAATGTGACTGGGCTTTGTTGAGCGTAAGACGAAGTGCAAATAGCCGGGGGCACCGGTCACCATTTATCCGAATTAACTTTGACACCATTAAAACGCCGTTTCGAATACAATACACAGTGCGAGATTAAATGGCGAGGTGGTCGGCCTTTAATGCCACCAGGATTATAAACTGAGTAAGCCTTAATCCTCGAGTTTCTGCATTACCTCCGGAGATCGTTAATCGCTCTTTGCTCATTCGACATTCTACATATTGTCTCATTTTCCCTCTGTCTCTCTCAGTCTCCCGTTCGCTCTCCTTTAATCCTCTTAGCCTCACTACCCCTTGACCAATCAATTTGTCATCCCCTTTACACTTGCTACCCCAGTTTTAATAACTGCCTAGCTCCCCCGGTTTTGGTAAGCAGTCACGGATCACGGTCCCTCCCCCTTATACAACTCATTGTATTTCGGGATGGTTTTTCACTCCGTTGCTCTGAACAATCTGTTTAAGATTGGCTGACTCGCCCCATCACCGGAAACTGCCCCCTTATTAGCTTTCTGATTTATAATCACGACAGCCTTTTCCAAAATACAGCTAAACGTTTTCACAACTGGAAGCGGCTGTGTTAAAATTTATTGTTTCTATTTAATTTTGATAAAATAATAATTTATTCAAGTGATAGTTCCATCAAATCGTTTTCTTTAAATTTTATTTATTATAATATTGATTATTTTAAACAAAATTTTGGTGATTTTTCATTATTCTCATGAAAATTTAAACAAAAAGCAAATGGCATGTGTGCTGCTTTTGATCACAGTTCAGCATATCTTTTTTTTAAAAAGAACATTTCCATTCTTTTCATTTTTCGTCATCATCAAATGTCTTATTTCGTCAAGATTGAAGTTCAATTCTAAATCTGCTTGGTGACTGGAAAATCGTATTTCGTCATATCGTCGATATATCAGATAAATGTCCTCTTCATCACAAGTAACTAGTTTTGTTTATTACCTAGTTTATTTATTAACGTTCGTCTTGGTGTTCTACAAACTTCTGCTGTATTTTTCTCAGCTTTCAGCAGCTTTGTAGCCAATTGGATGAAAAATATAACATTTAACCAAATCTGATTTTTAACTTTTGTTGGAGGTGGCTAATGTCTCTACTCAAGTCCAAATTACAACTTCAAGATTTTGCAAAGCTTGAGAACCTAACACAATAATTTTAGAAATATTGCTAATTATGACGCTGCCTCCTTGGAGTCATTTTACAAAAAATATAAATACAGACGAGTGAAGCACATTTTGCTGTAAATTAACAATATAATGTAAAAGTTTTTTTTTTCTCTGTGTTAATATTTAGATAAGTTTTAAATCAGTTCTTTTTTAACTTTGGCGTATTTCTTTAAAAAACTTGTCTTAATAAAGAATTTGTCAATATTGTTATTCAATTATTTCTCAATATTACTGTAACGTTTATGTGTCTGGGCAAAGTGAAAGGAAAAGGAAAGTTTTTACTCCTTTAAAAAAAATTATAATTAAAAACGTGTGGTGATTAGTGACCGTTAATCGATAATTATTCAGAAATCGTGAGATGCGGTCTGGTGTGATGTAGGGTTCAGAAAAACATTTTCTTTATCGTGCCAACGTTTCAATCTTTATTGAGATCATCTTCAGGGCTCAAAGTGTTTATCTTCTGTGTAATTGTGCCATTCTTGCGTGTCGTGTTGAGAGTGCCCAAACAAACAATTTGAGCCCTGAAGATGATCTCAATAAAGATCGAAACGTTGGCACGATAAAGAAAATGTTTTTCTGAACCCTACCTCACACCAGACTGCATCTTACGATTTGTTAATAATAATTAAAAACATTACACGATATGAAACCGTACTTAACAATTAAACGCTCTATTAATATTTTGGTAAGATATAACTTCGCGAATGTAGAAAGGTAAGTTTTCAGGACTATAAACAGGGCGAGGCAATGCACCAACCAAGCTGAAAAAAACATAATAACGGTGGTCAACCTGACTGACCATTCTACCAAAATTAATTTACAAAACTTAGGGTCATTTTGTGTCATTGTAGCCCTTATTTCAATTGTCATTTTTTTTTTAATAGGAAAAAGGTAAACCTGCACGAAGAAAAGAATATAAAACGAAATATAGGAAATAAAAGCACAGTATAGGTTTGCGATTTTATGAGCCACGGATTTTTTTTTAATGCTGAATTTAAAGGAAACTTTTCTAATTTTATTTTGGAGCTGTAATGTATGAGTTTCAAAATGTAGATTATTTTGAAATGTGATATCTAGGTACAAGTGTTGACAAATTTCATAGGCACAATAACATTTGTTTGGTACAAAAATTTGGAGTGAAATGTTATATAATCACGGCGAGTTTCGGCATGTACAAAGTTCGAAATTTCTCGGGACAATAAACAGGGCGAGGCGGTAAACAAACCAAGCTGGTAAAACGTAATACCGGTGGATCTCCCGTCTGTGGTTGGTATACAAGACGAATTTCGGCATATACACTGTCTTTAAAGTTCGTAGTTTTTTAGGACTATAAACAGGGCGTGGCGGTACACAAACCAAGCTGGTAAAACGTAATACCGGTGGATCTCCCGTCTGTGGTTGGTCTACGAGACGAATTTCGGCATATTCACTGTCTTTAAAGTTCACGTCCGATAAGGCCGAATAGGCCAGGTGCGGACGTTAAAGATCCTCTTGTCTTGTTGACGATGAGTAACTCGGGAACAAAATGTCTTTAAAGTTCGTAGTTTTTAGGACTATAAACAGGGCGTGGCGGTACACAAACCAAGCTGGTAAAACGTAATACCGGTGGATCTCCCGTCTGTGGTTGGTCTAGGAGACGAATTTCGGCATATACACTGTCTTTAGAGTTCGTAGTTTTTTAGGACTATAAACAGGGCGAGGCAACAGACAAACTTGAGGGGCGTCGGCGGTCGCAACGGTTTAGGCGCTGACATGGCACTCATCACTGTAAGGTAAAGGTCCCAGCTCCAATCCAGCGGCCCTGCATTCGAACCCAACATATTTACAAATGGGCTTTTTTTCAAAAACACCGGCCCCCGAGGGTTCATATAACCAATGCTGTTGCGAACCCTCGTAAAAAAAATTTTAAAATTTAAAAAACGAACAGCCAAACTCAGTACAGAAGATGTAGAAGAACAAAGAAGTGAGGATAGCCGGACCCGCACGATCTGTTGATTTAACAGGAACAAATGATTTGTTCATGTGATAATGAATTTGTAATTTTAGTCGTTTCTGCATTCCAATTATTCTAGCCCTCTTGTAATCTTTAGACATTTGGGAACGAAAAGACTACATTTTTCAACCAAAATTCAAAATAGACCAAATACTAAAATGCGAGTCAGGAAGGATAGAAATACCAGAATTAACGTCTTCCGATTGACAAAATGACCGTTCTAAGTATATACTCTTGTAAGAAAATAATGAAAGAGTTAAAATAATTTATACATTTCCAACCCAAAAACTATTTAAAAAAAATATAATGTTAATTTTCCTACCGTTAAATTAACCATGAGGTTGTTTCACACCGACTGTCCTGATATTCAAATTCACTCAGCCCGATGGACTAAATGGCAAATCAGAAGTCTCGCCCCTTTCGGCGTAATCACTGATACCTGTTATCGACAATTTGCTTTTGATTAGAGCCGATAACGCGGCCTGGGCTCGACTCAAGTGACGCCACCTCTTTTCTCCGAGTTGACAATCTCGATTTAACGGATTACTTGAAAGGGTGTATCAGTCATTTTTATGACAGTAATCGCAAAGAAATGCATTGTAAAACTTCATTTTCTGTTTATCCTCTTGTCCTTCGAGAGGCGATTTGTGCCCGGGGCGCGTGCTCATCGAGTTTCTTGAGCTTTATGTAAATAAAAATAGTAAAAAAAGCAAATTATTTGTACAAATATTATATAAATACATATTTAGTCGGCCCTGGTTAACCAAAGTGATTATTTAAATTGATTTTAAATTTTCATCTCACCCTCACTTTACATAAAAATTATAAATCAATTTGTATACAACTTATTAAATTCACTAATTTGAATCCCGCTCGTGCCATTGACTTTTTTATCTCAACTAAAAACCTTAATTAATTGTTTGTATACAACTTTTTCAAAACTTAACGTTCTTTTACTTAATAATACTCTCGTGGATAAGAGTAGAGGTCAGAAAAACAAATAGTGCTATTTTACCAATGCTGACGTTTCGACGATATATTTCATCTTCAGAGACTACAGAGAACAATCTTAATTAATTTTATTTTACATAGACATATCGCAGATTTTCGACAACTTACAGGTACGTAGTCAAAATTTAAAAACGTTTACACATGTTAAATGACAAAAAAAAACTATATCTTCACTACTATTTTAACTATATACATATACATACAACTTATATATATTACGCAGGGCGGGTGACCAGGACCCGAGGGGTTAAAAGCCTAGGTAGGCCCGTACCCCATCCCTGGTCGGCTCACGAGTCCTGCATAAACCTTTTGGACCTATTCACCAACCCCAAGATTTTGGACCATTTTATCTTGGGGAGTGTTTTGGTTATGTCCTATCCTTCGAAAGTTTCAAATTTTTCCCTAGCATACCTATCACATTCTGCAAGGTAGTGTCGAGCCGTTTCTTCCTTTGTTTCACAGAAGCGGCAGAAGGGGTCTGGTAAAGTACCCATTATGAAGAGGTGTCTTCTCAAGGGGCAATGGCCCGTTAGGATACCTATCAGCTTCCTTATTCCCCTACTAGAGTTAGAGAATAACCATTTCGTTTCTTTTGGTTTGATTTCCTTCAGAAACTCCTTCGATTGCCTGTGTCCGGGGGACATATTCCATTCTTGAAGTAATTGTTTCATGCCCCAGCAACTAATACTCTCTTTCACTGTGCTTATGAGTGGGGTAATACCGGTTGTGGCCCGACAAACGCGGTATTTGATCCTTCTTTGACCAGGCTGTCCGTTTCTTCATTACCATAGTGCCCCTTATGAGCAGGTATCCATATGAGGGTTACCCTATTCTCGTCCCTAGTAGTTATCCTATTGAGCAGGTATCCATATGAGGGTTACCCTATTCTCGTCCCTAGTAGTTATCCTATTGATAAGTTCAATACCTCTACCAGCCTAGATGTACATAACTCTTTTTGTAATGACTTAAGACTGGCCTGACTGTCGGAAAAAATTCTAATATCTTTTCCCTTAGTATTATTATCCATGAGTGTTCTACAGCAAACATTGATGGCCCAGACCTCCGCCTGAAAGATTGAGGTTTTACTACCAAGAGGGGAGGAGATGCTGATTCCTAATTTGGGTATATGTATACCAGCACCGCTTCCCTTGTCCTTAATGAGTGAGCCATCGGTGAAGCAATCTATGCTATTATGGTCATCATCCGCATTATAGTTATAATCACATGGAGTAACTACCTGAAAGTGTTTTTTCTCCAAAGGTGTTTTAACCTTTTTGTCGCTAACACTTATTAGTTGGTTATTAACCTTACTCAGTAAATGTAGAATTTTCCAGTGTCCTATATTGTTTCCCTTACGATTCCAGCTGCCTTCACTAATTAATCTATAACAGCTGGTTAGTGCTCTAACCTTGACCTCTATGTGTGGAGATGCAGTATTGGTTATCATTTCTAGTGCTAGGGTAGGTGTAGTGGGAAATGCTCCCGTCATCATCATACAACCTATTCTTTGAAATGATCTTAGCTTGTTAATAGCCCCTTTGTTTTCTAGCCCTTTCCACCATACTAGGGCTGCAAATAGAAATCTTGGTAGTATAATTGCGGTATATATCCATTTGGCCACCCAAGGTTTGATACCCCATGTTACATACAACTTAACTCTAACAATAAATAAATACTAAAATACTTTTAACAAATACACATACAATGTGTCCTTTTTAGATTGCCCGGCTGAATTTCTCTTGAACCAATGACGCTACAAAAAAAAAAAAAAAAAATTAATATTATATAAATATTTTTTAGTATTGTAAATCTTACATAACCACTTTTCACTTTTCATTTATTTTCAAAATTTTGAATTCCCCTTACATAAAATTGGCAAAAATAACTGCGATCGAAGACATCAGGAATAAGATCGCCTGGTATGCCCGATGGCTTACGCTCTTTCAGAGATTTGAAGTAACCTGTCCCACCTACGAAAACCTTGCTGATTGGCCAGCTCTTTTTTTAGATTATCTAGTATCTAGAGTCAAGGAACGGCATCGGGACGGTTGCTTACTCCGAGCTCAGTCCTCGCTTAACTTTTCCTTATTCAAAGACTTGTCTCACCCCCACACTTTATTTAATCTACAGAGAGAGAACCTTAATTCCCTTAGTCTAGATAAATTACCCTTAGATCGTTCAGGTCTATTTTTAGATTATATGACTTATTATTTTAAGATATATACGTCGTATCGAATAATTATTATAGATGTATAATTATTAGATTATACATGTATAATTATTACTATAATTGTAACATAGTAGGCTCTTTTCTTTTGCACTTAATAGTATATTAACTCCTATTAATAATTAAAACAATTAAAAATAACTTAATGATTATATAATCTTTATGAAAGGTATTGGTAGAGATAAAAAGCCAGTGTCACGAGCGGGATTCGAACCCGCGACCTTCGACAAGACACGCCGTTGCTCTAACCACTTGAACTATCGTGACTTCGATCCACACATACACCAACTTCCCATCTCAACCCCACCTTTCGAATTTTCCCTCCTTCTTTTCCATTTTTCCGAGTGGATCGAAGCCGCGATAACTCAAGTTGTAGAGCAGCGAAGTATTTAGCCGAGGGTCGTGGGTTCGAATCCCGCACGTGACACTGACTTTTTTATCTCAACCAATACCTTACATAAAGATTAAATAATTGTTTGCTCAACGTTAATCTAAATAAAAACAAAAAAACTCTTTCTTCCAATGATCTTTTATATAAAAAATCTTATAAAAGAAAAACTTCTATTTAAAAAAAATGGTTAGCATTTTTTCCCACCCTTCTATCCGTGAATGTGAACCATCAAATTAGTTTCGAATCAAATTCGGTCGGCTTTCAGAGAGAGAGTGAGGTACGAATTTCATTTGCTTCCTCCGGAGCGAAATGCCAGGGGAAAGAGAACAAATGGGGAAGGAAGTGGCAGAGGTTTATTGCCTCGAGGGCGAAGTGCCGTCCCTGGAATAACAACTATCACTCTCTCTTCCTCCGGGCTTTTCTCGCTCCTTCCCGGGTCATGACAAGTCTATGTTTGGGCCTATACGTCTCCTGGGTCACTAATAAACACCTTTATTGGCCCACGCTCCTGTTTATTTACAGACGGTCTGTGAGGGAGTTTAACTGTCAAGTTCAGAATCATTTTAAAGGAAAGAGTTGAAAAGTAAAATAAACACACTAATACGGAAAAATACTACCATTCATTAAATTTAAATGCATAAATGGTCCGCCCCTAAATTAAATCATACAATGTCTTCTCTTTACACTCTTTTGGCCTTAAATTTCCTATCCAACATATTGCCGTTTAGAATCTAACCATTTGGCATAACAGCTTAAAAATTAAAGTCAACGTCATTAAAACACGCCGATACCACATTAGCCGACTAATACTGGAATTGTCGTCACTGGAACAGTATTGGCCTGGCTAATCTCTTCCTGATTAACACAACACAAACTACATCTATTGCGTCCCTTTTGACGCGCTTTGTCGTTTAACAAAATATTCCTTCAAAATTCTTTTATAAAAACGAAAAAGAAAAAATTGGGCGAAAGAGAGAAATCGAGAGAGACTAGTAGAGAGAGAGTAGTAGTAGTAGTAGTAGAGCGAGAAAGAGAGAAAAAAAAGAAAAATATATTTAGAGAAATAATAAGATAATAAAAGATAAAGAAAGCCATAGAAAAAGAGAGTAGGAGAGAATGAGGGGGAAAAGAGAGAGAGTGAGAGAGAGAAAGAGAAAGAGTGAGAACGAGAGAGAGAAAGAGAGGTAGATAACGAGATAAAAAGAGGGAAAGAGAACGAAAACAAAAATAGATTTAGAGAATTTACTAAGACCATAACAGAGAAAAAGCAAGAGAGAGAGAGAGAGAAAACAAAATGAAAAATATACTTAGAGAAATTACTAATATAACAAAAGAGAAAAAGCAAAAGAGAGATACAAAAATAAAAAGAGAGAGAATGAAAAGAAAAATATATTTAGAGTAATACTGAGATAATAAAAGATAAAGAAAGCGAGAGTAGGAGAGAAAGAGGGGGAGAGAGAGAGAGAGAAAGAGAGAGAGATAGATGTGAATAACGTCACGGAGAAAGATAGAGACGGAAAAAAAAGAAAGAGAAAGAGGGAGTGAGAGAAAAGAGAGAGAGGGAGAAAGAGAGATGTGAATAACGTCACTGAGAAAGATAGAGACAGAAAAGAAAGAAAGAGGAGTGAGAAAAAATGGAGAGAGGGAAAGAGAGAGAGAGAGAGAGATGTGAATAACGTCACTGAAAAAGATATAGACGGTAAGAAAGAAAGAGAAAGCGGAGTGAGAAAAAAGGGAGAGAGAGAGAGAGAGATGTGAATAACGTCACTGAGAAAGATAGAGACGGAAAAGAAAGAAAGAGAAAGAGGGAGTGAGAGAAAAGGGAGAGAGGGAGAGAGAGATGTGAATAACGTCACTGAGAAAGATAGAGACGGAAAAGAAAGAAAGAGAAAGAGGGAGTGAGAGAAAAGGGAGAGAGGTAGAGAGAGATGTAAATAACGTCACTGAGAAAGATAGAGACGGAAAAGAAAGAAAGAGAAAGAGGGAGTGAGAAAGAAAGAGAGAGAGATGTAAATAATGTCTCTGAGAAAGATAGAGACAGTAAGAAAGAAAGAGAAATGGAGAGTGAGAAAGAAAGAGAGAGAGTGAGAAAGAGAGAAAGAAAGATAGAAAGTAGAAGAGAGTGAAAGAGAAAGAACAAGAACAGAGTTATATACATAAAATAAAATTGACTGATACAGAAATAGAGATTAAAATAGAAAGAGAAAGAGTGAGAGAGAGATAGACAGACAGAAAAAGATAGAGATGTGATTAAATAGACAGTGGAAAGATAGACACATAGATAAATAGATAGAGGCAGGATATGTTCATGATAAATGTCACTTGTTCAGTCCTCCATGTTTTAATCAACTTATAACTGCACAAATCAACAACACTCACACTTCAGTTATATCATGTAAAATGCTGTTCAAATTAAAAAAAAAAAAAAAGAACTCACGATTAGAATGGACGTCTGATACAAGCTAAATAGCCCAGCTTTAATCCATCAACTACTATGATAATCAAAGGCCAACTTCATTCACGACATAAATATGAAAAGTTACTGAAAATGAGAGGTAGATTATAAATGAAACGGACCATACAGGTTCGGAAGAAAATAATACATATATAACTTTTAATTTTCACGTTTTAGAAAAGTTCGGATTATTTACTTTGCGGGTAATAATTAGATTGAATTATTGCATATTGTTTTAGATTGTCGAAAAAAGGAATTGCGCTTAAGGGTGGAATAGTGTCAAGAGTAAAACCGGGGAGCATTTAATATAGGTTGTGCAGGAAGCTGTAGTTGGTCGGTGCCTATCCATCACGACCCCGTTGACACCCTACTCCCATTACACAAGACAAATGTCCTCCAACCCTCCAAAAACAACGCGGCGACCGGGCAAAAAAGTATCTCTCCGATGGGTGTAAAACCGCCAACGGCCTCACCCTCGGGAACACCCTCCGTTACCGCATGTGTTTTTAAAATCGTAATATGCGACATTTTTTGCCGAAGGGGGTGAGGATATACGAGCCGAACGGGTATTAAACCTCAAAGCGTGTCCCGCCCGATAAAAAGGGTTCCGATCCCCGGGAATCCAGGTGGAGATAACAACGCTCCACTCCACTTGACGCTCTCACGGCTCGCTTTTCCGCCGCAACGCAGATCGCCCCCGCCGTCGCATTCCCTTTGACGCCCCTTCATTTAATTAATAACTAAAATTCCCTGTCGCCCGCCTCTCCGACCTTTCTGGCCGACCGCTTTCCGTGTTTTCCTTCGTCCTCCATCGGATTCCATTTGCCCCTCTGGAATTCGCAGGCTGGCGCGTCGATCCTCTCCGCCCTGTCCTCCTAATGATCTCCCTCTACGCCTCTGCACGTCGCATTAACATTTATCTCTTTAAAATTCTAACGCCCTATATTTCGGGATTATTTACCAGATGGTATTATAGCCTGATAATTGACACGCATGTTCCAAACTTGGCTACGAGCTTCACAGTGCAGTGAAACCTCCGATAAAAGACGCATCTATTTTAGCATTCACCTTCGTTTACAGGGTCTTGGAAATGTCGATTTTTCACTGAAAAAACTCAGGAACCAGCAAAAAAGAATAAAGAACTAAAAACAATATAGCAGAAAAAGGGCAAAGAAAGGGGGCGGTTAAGCAGCTTATTCGTGATGGTCGTATCATTCAATGGTAAGGGTCTCGGGTTCGAGTACAGCGGCTCTGAGTTCGACGATATACTTTTTTTCTAGGCTTTTTCTCTAGAACACCGGCTGGGTTCATATAACCTCGTTTCTTAAATACCCTTCTTAAAAAAATTTCAGTGTTGCGGCATGAAAAAAAACTTGTATCACAGGGTTCAGTTTTGGGGCCACCTATATATCTCACTTCAACAAGTTTGCTCATTTTTGATCGTTTTTGTACTTCGTGGAGTAATGTCAAGCTGTTCAAGGATGTCTTCGTTTTTAAGGGTTCGAGATGGTTTTGTGCGAGCTGAGTAGTTTGATGCTATTTTTATATAGTGGCAAAAAAAACTTCTTCATCTTATGTGTATCTTAGGGATCAGTTTTGGGGACAACTTTTTATCTCACTTAAACAAGTTTGCCCATTTTTGATCGTTTTCGTACTTCGTAGAGTAATTTCAAGCTATTCAAGGATGTCTGCATTTTTAAGGGTCCGAGATGATTTTGTGCGTGGTAAGCTGAGTAGTTTGATGCTATTTTTGAATAGTGGCTAGTCTTGTCGTGGTATGAATTGTCTGATAGGTCAATCGTTTTACTGTCCTCTCATCCAAACAACAGACAATAGTTTGAAAAACGTGGAGTTTTCTGTCTTGCGACATGTACTAATAAGTGTATCTCATGGATCAGTTTTGGGGACAACTTTTTATCTCACTTAAACAAGTACGCGCCTCTATTGATCGTTTTTGTACTTCGTAGTAATTTCAAGCTATTCAAGGTTGTCTGCATTTTTAAGGGTTCGAGATGATTTTGTTTCGGGGTAAGCTGAGTAGTTTGATGCTATTTTTGAATAGTGGCTAGTCTTGTGGTATGAATTTTCTGATTGCTCTATCGTTTTCCTTTCCTCTTATCTAAAAAAACAATCAACCAATTTTAAAAAACGTAGAATCTTCAGTCTGAGTCATGTATTCATATGTGTATCTCAGGGACCAGTTTTGAGGCTACCCTGATATCTAATTCGTGATGGCTTAGTGCGTGGTAGTTTAGTGTCATTTTTGTATATTATGTCTTGTCTATGTTTTACCGTAGGTATGGATTATCTGATGACTGGCATTCTTGATTAATTGAATTGTTTAAGGTTTAAGAAAAATCTATTTTTTTTCTTATATTAAAAACCGACACCAATCACACCAATCTAAAAAAAGTAGAACCT